AAGCAAATACAAAGAGATAATTCTGATGGTTTTAACTTTTTTTCCGGCAACTTCTGAAAATCTGAAAAAAATCCTTTAGTGATGTTGGTGGGGTTGAATCTGTTTGAATTCTGTAGGACAAGTTCATTGGAAAGTCAAGGGTATGACTCTCTTTCTCTCACTCATTATTTGTCAATGTTCTTTGTGCTTTATGCTTCAAATGAAAAAGAGGAAGCTATCCACTAGACCTTCCATGTGCATTTTAGTCTTATAGTCAAATCCATATTTAACATTGCCGGACCTTTAAACTTCAACATATGTATGCATAATATGGACTGTACCACATAAATTAGCCCTAAGAAACTAATTTTAATGCTTCAGGGAGATNTTAAATAAGTGAAATTACGTTTAAATGTGTGTTCGAACATATTTAAATATATTATCATTATTGTTAAATTTTAATATATATTAATTGATTTTAATTGAGATAATGATGGAAAATAAAATAAATCAAATTGGGAGTGTTTGGCAACATGGGGCGTTTGGGTTGGAGCCCAAGCCTATTCCATATTCGATTAGGGCAACTTAATTAACTATAAAAGGAAAAAGTGTGTGTTAATTAATTTAATGAATTGATTTCTCTTGAAATTAAAAACACACACAGCAGCCCCATCTCCTCCCACGCCAGTTTTGGGTTTTAGCCTAAAATCAATTTCAATTGATTTGCTTTCTTCTTAATCTTGAAGCCAAAGAGGATCTAGCAAATCCCTCTTTGGTTCTTTTGAGATTGTCTTCGTGTGGACTACGTGGGTTCGATCCTACACTTGGATCGGTAGCAAAACATTCGTTGACAAATTTGGAGGAGCCTCCAACATGCGTATGTTTCTTTAAACTCAGATTATTTTTCTGCAGATTTTATTTTAATATGAATTGTAAAATTTGACCCTTGATCTTGGCTCATGTAAACGATCTCTATATTAATTTTTGTTTTGTTTTCGCTGCGTATATGGGACCGTTTACTTACAAGATATCTTTATGGATTTGTGAATTTATAAAATCGGCATGTATTTTCAACTAGTACATCGTTGTTGTGTAATGGTTGTCTTCAATATTTCTGTTTATAAACAATTAGCTTGATGTCTTGTTAGTGTACCATCGAAATTGCAGGCTCTGTATGATTGGATGTATTATATATACTTGAATACTTAGCTGTGCAGTTTCTTCCTTTCAACGCTCAAAAGATTACTTATCTCAGCAGATGAAGAATACAGATGGTTTGCTGCGTTTGTATGCTTATTGGGCTCATTTGGAGCTAAATTTGGCTGCAGCTCTAGGTGTTTGGGAGAGCCTGGTAAAGATCTGGTTTGGCCTATTCATCTTTTTCTCTTTCTTATCCTGTATGGTTCAATATGATTGATTTATGATTCATCTTTGTATTTTTTCCGTATAACTTGCTTTTTGTCTATGCTACAGGTCAATGTTGGTAGCCTGGCAAGGTTATATAGCTATGGAAATTGAATTGGGACATTTAAATGAAGCTAGGTCCATCTACAGGAGATGCTACAGTAAAAGATTTAGTGGGATAGCTTTAGAGGTATAATTCTTTTACACTACTTGCTTTCTATTATACTAGACTGATTTATAGACAGAATTTGAATTTGAATTTGAATGTTTTTAAACTAGTTTTTTCCTAATTTTTCTTTTTGAAAATTGTTGCTTTTAGTAGTATACGATGCAGCTTTATTTAATCAATTGATATTTGTCATCTGCAATGCAGACATTTGTTTCTTTATTCAAATTTTGCAACTGATGGAAGTTGAAACTAGACAAATGGCTTAAGTCCAAGCTATTAAATGTTGTTTATCAAGTAGGGCAATTTATGGAGATCTTTTGAACTCTTAATATAGAACCATGCTCTACAGCTGAGAATATATTTAGAGAGTAGCCTTGCAATAGGTCAACTGGTTACTCGGGCACCAGAATCACAATGGTTTAATATGTCATTATGAATAATTTTTCCAAATCATACGTAAATGATATATGACAGTATCTGTAAGGGTCATGCTAGTTGAAAATCCATGACGTTTATTTTTTTAACTTTCAACTTTGGAGTTACTGATACTCTGATGAAATTATGGCATACATGAAGCAATCGCATTTAAACCATAGGTAGTGGAGTATTTTTTGATACCCAGTAGGCTACTATAAGGGTAGACTAGGACACCCTAGCTTTCCTTATTTGCAAAAATTGTACCCATTTTTGTTCAAAAATAAAAATTTATTTTCTTTGAAGTGTGAAACTTGTCAACTTGCCAAATACACCAAGTCTATTTATATAGCTCATAAATATAAGAGTTCTAGGCCTTTTTAATAATTCATAGTGATATTTGGGGGTCATCTAGAGTTACAAATATTATAGGGTCTAAGTGGTTCATTACGTTTATTGATGATCACACTATAGTACAATGGGCATACTTGATGAAAAACAAGTTTGAAGCAAGTCAATTGTTCAAAAGGACTGCCTAGACAATTGTTTGTCAATCAAGTTTCCAAGTTGGGAATGATAAATATCTATTCACCAACTTGAGGGGGAGTGTAGAATTTCTAGATTAGAATACGATAAATTTAAGAGTTATCTAAGTCTTATCTAGTTTAAGAGATTGAAATAAAAAGATTATCAGGATTTGTTTTCTCCTGATTTCATATTTAAATCTATCTATATGAGATTTGGGCCAGTTTGGTTTGTAATTCAAAAATAATTTTGAAAAACTAAGTTATAATTAAAAATTTTAAAGTTTTATCTCTAAATTTTAAATATTTGAAAATATATTTTGTATTTTAAATCTCTTTATGAGATTTGGGCCAGTTTGGTTTGTGATTCAAAAATAATTTTAAAAAAACTAAGTTACAATTGAAAATTTTAAAAGCTTTATCTCAGTATTTTAAATATTTGAAAATATATCTGGTATTAAAAATTGTTTTTGAAGTTAAAAACTATATAAAGACTGAGTATTTTTCTTGTTTTCTAATTTTACACTAATTTTTAGGATTATATGCAAAAACATTGTTTTTTAAAACATTTCAACTTATTTTAATAAAAACTATTTTCATAAAATTCCTTATATTCCTTGTTTTCGAAAACAAAACACAATTTAAAATTTATAACAAATAGGCTTTTATTTAGATTATAAACTTTTATATGCATTTATGTTATATTTATGGTTGTGATTGTGGCTGTTCAGCTCACGAGATTGCGTTAAATTTTAAGTATTGTTGTTGAACGCTTAACTATCAATTTAAGCTTTTAAGTCAAGTTGTTACGTAACATTGTTAAAGGTGCTACTGAGTTATGATACATCTGCTTGGTATTTATTGAATGTATGCAATCCTTGCTATTTTAACTCAATGTGTAAAGATGCTTGTCTTTGTTCCCTTTCTCAGATTACACCCTGCTTAGAAGAGCTGCAACTATTTAGGTTACAACAGGAAGCCAAATCTGTTCCTAAACTAATAGATCAAAAAGAGAAGTCGCATAAGAAAAGTGTTAATGGAAAGAGTAACACAGATTAAAACATGACTGACTAACAGTCTCTAGTTAAGCGGCAAAAAAATATTGCCCAAAACCAAAACAAAGTGCATGGGAAAGAAAAGGGACGAGCACAGAACTTAGCTGAAGAAAACAAAGTAGAAGATGCAAAACCCAAGTTTGAAGAGCATCCAAATGACCAGCACATCAAAGACTCCACCACTGGAAGAGCTAAAGTATACATTGACTAGTGTACTGCATTTTTATCAAACCTTAACTTCAGGGCAAGTAGAGATTCTCTCGCACTTCAGAGAGAGATTGCTTTTTATTCTTTTTTTAACGCTGGATAGGCAAATACAGAAAGATAATTCAGATGGTTTTAAATTTTTTTCAGGCAACTTCTAAAGATCTAAAAAAATTCTTTAACGATGTTGGTAGGGTTAAATCTGTTCAAATTATGTAGGACAAGTTCATCGGAAAGTCAAGGGCATGACTCTCTTTCTCTCACTCATTATTTGTCAATGTTCTTTGTGCTTTATGCTTCAAATAAAAAAGGGGAAGCTATCCACTCGACCTTCCATGTGCATATCAGTCTTACAGTCAAATCCTTATTTAACGTTGCCTGACCTTTAAACTTCAACATATGTATGCATAATGTGGACTGTACCATAGAAATTAGCCCTAAGAAACTAATTTTAATGCTTCAGGGGATCTGCATGGCTAATGCTTCAGGGAGATAGAAACTACTAATTGCAGTCCATTGTCTTTGATCAAATTTCTCAAGGGTGCTCACTGAAACTTCAATTTGATTTCTTCCTTTCATGTAGTCAATAAATCATTTAGTTCTTATGCTTTTGGTTTTAAGATGAATGTCCTTTCTAGAGACGATTATGCAGTCTCAAATAAACCTGCAGAAGTGTTCAATTCCATAATTATGGTAAAATTGCTTAGTTTTCTAAGTATAAAGAGTCTAACTATCTAAGAGCATATTTTTTCATTTTGCTAGCAAGTGATATGCTTAGGAGACTCAACCATAGTCCTATACAGATTTACCCATATTCCAGCTTGCCTTTAAACTGTATGTATGGGACTACTAATTTATAATATCCTCTGATCGATTTTTGAAGTGCCTTGCATATGTGGATTTTGCCGATGATGCACACCTTGCTGTAGTTGTAGGAAAGAACAAAAAATGTTTCTTGGGAAGAAGATAAGCATTGCAAGATCAAATCCTAAGCAAAAGAGAAAGGATTCTGCTGGTCATAGGGCCTCTGGAGAACAAGGTAGGCTAAGTGGAATTATGTTTTATCTTCGTTATTACTTGTGTGTGTTTGTTTGTGTGCAGTGTAGTCTATAGATGTTTGCATGTTTGTGTTTCCCACTTCTACCTTTTATTTTCTTACTCCTTTGGGTTAAATGGCAGCGTAAAGTAGTAATCAGACTTTAAGGGGTCTAAAGCACCACACTGTGTTGCTAACAAACATAGTGATAGCATTTAGCTGAAGGGGAGGAACACATTTGCAACGCCAAGGAATGTCAGACCACTTTGTGTTCCCTCGACAAATCCAAAAGCCAGGGAAGTGGAAGATGAGAAGCTGAGGTCAAATAATGAGTCCAGAGAAATGTTCCTTAAGAAGTGAGGTTTGTTCCTGAGGTTCCATGTTACATGTTAACTAGAATAGCACAGTAATTGACAAACTTCTCTTTCTTATAAAAAACATAAGGTTTTGCCTGCAGGCACCGAACAAAGCTCTCCATGTCACAGCATCTGGTTCATATTCCATATCAATTATTAACTTGACTGCTTGATCGAGCTTCCCAGCCCTTCCAAGAAGATCAATTATGCAGCCATAATGCTCATCTTCTAGTTCAATCCCATAAAGCTTCTTCATAGATTGGAAATAATACAACCCACCTTCTACAAGCCTTGCATGGAAACAAGCAAATAGAACACCAAGAATTGTAATATAATTTGGTACTAACCTTGAGGCTTTCATCAACTCAAACAATTTTAGTGCCTTTCGACTGTATTCGTTCTGTGCCAACCCTGCAATCATGGTGCTCCAAGAAATCACATCCCTCTCTACCATCCTATCAAAAACAAAGCTTGCATCTTCCAAGCTACCACACTTGCAATACATATCCAAAAGCGCATTGTTAAGTATCAAATCTTGGTCATACTTCAATACATGAACATGGACTTGTGTCCCCAATTCTAACAACGCTAATCCAGCACACACCTTCAAAATACTTGTTAGCGTGGCTTGATCCGCCACAAAACTCGTCATTCTCTTGAAAAGATTCAAAGCCTCATCACCATCACTATTTTGAGCAAACACTCCAATGATTGAGTTCCAAACAACCAAATCTCCAGTCACCATCTCATTAAAAACACACAGTGCATTCTTCAACTCACCCCATTTGGCATAAACATCAATCAAAGCACTCTTAACAAACACATAAGAATCCAAACCAACTTTAATTATTACACAATAGTAAACAAACACAAGATCTCAAAATGGAAGAGTAGGTGTACATATTTGGTCTAACACCTTCTTTGAGCATCAAAATAAAGAACTCAAACACCTTGTCATTCATCTTAGCATTACAATAAGCCCATGTCATTGTTGTCCAAGAAACAACGGTTCTCTCAGGCATTTTATCGAACAATGTTTTAGTGTCCTTCGAGAGATTAAACTTCATGTACATATTAAAATGTTGATTAAAAATGTTTTGGGTTCATACCCTTTTGGGAAGACGTGGTTGTGAACGGGTTTACCTTCTTGAACAGCGCCACGGGCCAAGCAACACTTGATGAGCTAAGAGTAGGTGATGGAATCAGCATGAAGGCCATAGATTTGCATGGCATCCATAGCTTTGATGGCTATTGGGAGGTCTCTTTGGTAGCAGAATCTGGTGAAACCATCAATCAAAGCTGACGGGTTGAGCGCTTTACTAGAAGAATCATTCGGTGTGGAAGTATAACATCTAGAAAGTGAAGTTCTTATGCATTTCAGCTTTGAAATGGCTCTCATGGCATTTCCCCGTTAAAGAACTGATATTTTCTTTTCCTTTTGCCGATTATAATTGAAACTTGGAACAACTGAACTGTCCATTTATGTTCAACAGAAAACTCAAAGTCGGTATGTATATATATAATTCTTAAATTATTTGCCTAATGAGAAGGGTTTTTTTTTTTTTTAAAGCCCCCATGTGTTTGGTTATTTTTGTGATGGTGTGCCTTGGGGCATCTTTTGCTCTACAGCGTTTACAAATTCAATCTCTCTCTTTTCTTTTCTTGCTAACTAGCTTTACGTGCTACTAAACATGACATAGCCAACAAACCTATTTTTTGGGTGCGATAAATCTTAAGCCCAATATGCAGCCAAATGCTTGTGATCTGACGGCCTTATTTTCACCTTGTTGTAGTTTCTAAACCAAGCTAAAAACCTGAAAGAGATTGAAATTTACGAATCCATAATTAAAGCTTATAGATCTTATGTTCATCACACAAAAGAAGAAGTCTCAAGCGATGAGTTGTAATAAGCAACCAGCACAGTGCATTCCTAATTCTCTCAAGTTGTCATGATCTCAGTTTCGGCCTCGTTGTAACAGATGGGAGTTGAGGTCAATAGATGTCCCTCTGATGTATCAATAAATAAGGAAGCAATATGGTATGAGGACCCGTTATATGTGTTATTTGCTTAATGAAATGGTGAAGGATTTTTCTTTTGTAGCAGCATACTAGTAATTGTTATATCATTTCTCATTCCAATCTGCATATAATATTCATTTGATGACTGAAACATGGTAGCATCAGGAAACAATTACATATTATTTATCATTTCTTCAGTACATGTGATTTATTGGCCACATTTCATCTTCTTCATTGGCTTATAGCCCTACCTAGATTCAAATTGGTATGAGCAGTGATCATGCCCACCATCAACCTCATCAACCCTACTTAATACGAATGATCACTAAGAAATAATTCTTAACGATCTTTTGTTTCTTGCTTTAAGCTTCAAAATTTCTTGAAACCACATGCCTCTCTGATTAATGCAGAAGCACTTTGCGATCTGCTATACTTGGCTTTTTTTTTTTTTTTCCAACACCTGTTCGATGCTGAATGAGTAGCAATGCACATAGATAAACGTCAAAGAAGAAACTATTAGGAAATTCTAACACAACATAATCAAACATGAGACGAATATAAGATAGCGGTGTAACTTCAAATATTCATTCATCAGCATCCCCTAGTACACACAATATTATCTAGAAATGCTTGCTAAATAAAAATAAAGAAACAAGGCCTCTTAGCATTAATAGCTGAAAAGCCATAATTACCTTAATTTAGTCGAATCAAAGACGGCACCACTTCTGTTAGCACGCTCAATTGAGAATTTCTCAACTGCAAATGGCATGAACAAGCAAGAAATTGATCATGTGCTGATGTGGCATTGATTTAAGCTTATGTGGTGTCAAAGTTTTTAAACTTTGGTCAAAGGCAATTTGGAAGAAAGAAAGGGACAGCTTTGTAATTTCATTCTTTGGGATATTTGTTGTGCCTTTCATGCCACTTTCTTTTCTCTCTGGATTGTTCTCTTCTTGTTACAAAGAGAGGAAGTTGTTGAGGGAAAACGTCAAGGTGGAGTCTTGGTATTCACAGGATGAGATCAACGATGGTGATGAGCTCTATTTGTAACTGATTTTTATTCTTTTTCCTCTTGTATAAATTCTGATTTATTCTATGTATTTTTTGTGTGTGTGTGAGAGGTGTGAGACACATGGGAGCAATCTAGGGTGGTTTACAGAGGGGAGTTGATACTGGGTTCTTGGTGTAAATCTGACTCACAAACTCTGTAAGATTTCTCTTCATAGTGTATATTTTCCTACTGCTCTGAAGAGTGGATGTAGGTAATCAATCTGATTACCGAACCACTATAAATCTGTGTGTATGCTCTTTATTGTTTATGCTCTTATTTTAGTTATATCTCTATTTGCTGTGAATGTGTTGGGTTACTCTAAAACTTAGATTTCCTTATTGAACAATCAGTTTGATCAACAAGAGTGGTATCAGAGCCAAGTTAGTTCTGGAATTAGAGATTTTTCGAATTTTGGGTTTGTCTAGGGTTAGATCTAATTTTCTTTACTGTTCTTGATTTAGGGTTTATTCTAGATCTTGAATTTTTGGGGGTTTTCGCATCTCCTGGTGACTGAGGAGGTAGTAAACCTAGATATGTCTAAGTTTGAAATGGAGAAGTTCACAGGTGACAATGATTATCGGTTGTGGAAGATGAAAATGAGGGTTGTTTTAGTTAAGGATGGGTTATCAGCGAGCTTAGAGGGTGAGGATAACTTACCAAAGTCTTTAACTGAAAAAGAGAAGAAAGACCTTTTAGATAAGGCTCACAATACCTTGATTCTAGGATTAGGAGACAAAGTTTTGAGAGAGGTAAAGAAAATGACCCACCAGCAGGGGTTTGGGAAAAACTAGACTCTTTATACCTATGTAAGTCTTCCCCTAATAGATTAGTTTTAAAACAGAAATTCTTTGGTTTTAAGATGGATGAGGGAAAGTCATTAGGTGATAATATTAATGACTTTATGAAATTAGTGCAAGACTTAGAAGGTCTAAGTGTTAAAGTAGAAGATGAGGACCAAGCTGTTATCCTCATAAACTCCCTACCCAAAATGTACTCTAACTTTGTTGATACCCTAAAATATGGTAGGCAAAGTATTAAACTAGATGAGGTTGTGGTTGTAATTACTGCAAAAGATGCTGAATTTAGGAAAGACGGTAAACTAGATGGTGAGGGGTTATATGTGAGAGGAAGATCTGATAAGAAATGTCATAAGAAAGGGAGTTTCAAGAGTAGATCAAAGTCTAAATCAAAATTTGTTAGAAAATGCTTCCACTGTCATAAGGAAGGTCACTTTAAGGGGGGTTGTCCTGATAGGAAGAAAAAATTAGGGGAAAAGGATGCTAGTGGGAGTGTAGATGTAGCTTCCGATGGGTATGAGAGTTCTGATGTATTGGTAGCCTTTGAAAATGAAATTGATGCTGAATGGATACTTGATTCTAGTTGTTCTTTCCACATGACTCCAAATAGGAGTTTTCTTTCAAACTTTAGAAAACTAGAGTCTGGAAAAGTTTTGATGGGCAACAATGTAGTTGTAGAGTCTTGGGAATAGGAGATGTAAGGCTGAATTTGCATGATGGTAGTTCAAAATGGCTCACAGATGTTAGATACATACCAGAGCTGAAAAGAAATTTAATTTCTCTAGGAAGTCTAGACTCAATTGGCTATAGCTATAAGGCTCAAGGTGGAGTCCTTAAAGTCACTAAAGGATCCTTAGTTGTAATGAAGGGTGAGAAGAAGAATGGATTGTATGTTCTAAATGGTTCATCCATCACTGGAACAGTAGCTGTATCTTTATCTAAGAAGTCCAATAGGACAGCTTTGTGGCATAGGAGGTTAGGGCATGTTAGTGAAAAAGGACTAGTTGAGCTGAGTAAGCAAAAGGTTCTAGGAGGGGATAAAATAGAGAAGCTAGATTTCTGTGATCATTGCATCTATGGGAAGATGAGTAGAATTAGATTTAGTGTGGGAAAACACTGTTCTAAGGCTATCTTAGATTATATCCATTCTGATGTGTTGGGGCCAACTAAATATCCATCTTTGGGAGATTGTAAATATTTCATTAGCATCATAGATGATTACTCTAGGAGAGTATGGATCTATTTCTTGAAAAATAAGGGAGAAGCTTTTGGTAAGTTTAGGGAATGGAAAGTCATGATTAAGAACCAAACAGGAAAGAAAATTAGGAAATTGAGCACTGATAATGGTTTAGAATTCATAAATGAGGAGTTTGATAAACTGTGCAAGGATAGTGGAATCTTAAGACATAGGACAGTTAGATATACTCCACGACAAAATGGGTTAGCTGAGAGGATGAATAGAACTATATTGGAGAAGGTTAGAAGCTTGTTGTCTTGTGCCAAACTTCCCACTAAGTTCTAGGCTGAAGCTACTCATACAGCAGTATTTCTGATCAATAGAATTCCTTCCTCAGCTATAGAGTTTAAAACACGCATTGAGAGATTGACTGGCTATCCAGTTGATTATGGTAGCTTGAGAGTTTTTGGTTGCAATGTTTTTGTGCATGAAAAATCTGATAAGTTACAACCTAGAGCCATTAGGTGTATTTTCATAGGGTATCCTGATGGGGTAAAAGGGTATAAGTGCTGGGATGTTGCTAGAAAAAAATGCATAATCAGTAGGGATGTCAAATTTAATAAAGAAGAATTGAGTGGCTTGAATGAAAAGACTGATAAGATGAATTCTGAAATTATTAGGTTTGAAATGAATAGAGAAGTTTTTTCTAACAATTCTGGCAATCTGAAACCAGAATATCAGCAAGGAGATTTACAAACTCAAAAGGAAGAATCTGTGTTAGAGGAGAATGAAAATGATTCAGTTTATGATGAAGAAACTGAATTAGAGAATTACTAGTTAGCTAGAGATAGGCAAAGGAGAGAAATTAGGTTGCCTAGGAGGTTTTCACAAGCTGACATGGTTACCGTTGCATTTCAAGTTGCTGAAGAAATAAAAGATGAACATAAAACTGTTAGGGAAGCTATGGAAAGCAGAGAATCTAAGCAGTGGAGGTTAGCTATGCAAGAGGAATATGAATCTTTGATGAAGAATAAGACTTGGGTTCTTATTAGGAAACCTGAAGGGAGTAGAGTTGTTAAGTGCAAATGGGTTTTCAAAAGGAAGGAAGGAATTCCAAGGGTAGAAGCTCCTAGATTTAAAGCTAGGTTGGTTGCTAAAGGCTTTACACAAGTTG